GATGTTCCAGGATCCAGTAATGCGTGTCTGTAACGGGAGCTGGTAAGGACCGAGGATGAGTCAGGGGCAAATTTAGCCGCGACTAATGTGTTAGAGCTCAAGGGAGCTTTAACGGGCCTTTCAGTTGTCTGATGAGAAGGCCGCTACAACATGTGAGTTGAGGAAGACTACTAGATATACGAGCGTTCATGGCGGATGGTAGTTGATGATTATCAAGTCTCCAAGTGTGAGGTTGTTGCGCTTGTGGAGGCTAGATTTGTTAGGACCTAAATAGGGTTGGCCCATTTTATTTTTAGCCTATTTTTGGTTTTTGTGGATTACTTGTAGGTTTCTCCTTATATATTGAGCTCTTGTACTTGTAATCTTGGTGCGCCAAGTGAAATAGAAACTCCTCGTGTTGCAAATGTGAATTAGGGAAATTGGACCACTTAAAACTCTTGTGTGTCGTTTGTGTTCCGTTTCTTTAGATTCTCACATATATTTGTGTGTGTGTGTGTTTAATTCCCAACACGACTTTGGCCTCTCGCTTCAAGTTTTAGCTATAAGTTTCCAAACTCGATTTTTCCTTTCCAGATATATAAACTTTAGACTACATCTTTCATTATCTTGATATTAATATGCAATATAGAGTAATAATTTAATGTTACTCTCTAATAGAGTATTGAGACTCCCATCACTATAAATTTTAGCTTTCAAACATTGTTAAAATCTAGATTAAAAAACAGTCTTAATCACTTAATTGTGGAGTATGATTTATTCTTTCTTAAACAATACGTTTAAGCAAGGATTAATCTCATAGCACGGTCTAGGAACCATGTTCTATTCAACTTATTTTTTTATTTACTACTTATTCTATTGGAATCTTATCAGATTAGACTAGATCAGACTAGATTAGATGAGATAGATGAGAAATAGTTTTAAATAAAAGTACATTCAAATCAGATCAGATCAGAACTTATTCCAATTTTATCAGAACCAATCACATCAGGTAAAGAGAACATGACCTAAGTCTCTATTAATCTGGCCATGGGGAGTCACAAGTTTGACAAAGTCCCAATCGGTGTACACTAATAATAACAATGTACTCCCTCGGCCTATAAATTTCTTTTCCATTTTGATTTTACATGCTTATTGAAAAACTTAAAAATTTAAACATTTTTATGTCTGTCATTGATGTGATAAAATAAAATAGAAATATAATGATACATTTATTAAATTTTGTTTTTGCCAAAACAGAAAAAGAAAGAAATTTGAAGATGACCTGCAAAAGAAAGTGAAAAAATTATTGTAGAGAGGAAGTAATAATAAAGCCACCAATCACGATTCTACCTTTTTTTTCAGCGTGTGGATCCCCCATTTTCAGAACCATGTTTCCCAAAAGGTTGTTATTCACTTCCTCTAAATTATACACTACTCCCCAATTTCCCCATCTAACAATAAAGTTTTTATTTTGAAAACTTTTAAAATTTTATATTTTTAAAATTATCTTATTTACCAATTGATATATCATAAAAAAATAAAAATTACATTTTTCAAAACTAAATTATAAGTTCTACAAAATAATACTCCCTCCGTCCCTAAATATTTGTTACATTTGTATTCCCGAGGCAAAATATCAAATTTTCACTCATTTTATTTACAAATTGGTATAGAAATAAAAAATAAAATTTACATATAAAAAAACTACATGAAAAGTTCTTCGAAATAAGAGGTATCAAGAATATTTTATTTTATCAAATAACCAATGAAAACGTAGAAATAAACAAAAGTCCCCGCGACTTCTGAAAAAGCAAACGTTACAAATAATTTGGGACGGAGGGAGTATATGACACGAATAATTTATCTTATCAAATTATTGATAAAATTATGCAAACAAACATAATTTTTGAGAGCTCATAATGGTAACTGTGAAATTTATTGTTGGACGGAAAGAGTAATTGTCACTAAGTGAATATATTTTGGTGATGGTAATTCTTATGTGCATCTCAAATTCACATGGATCTTCTTATAATCTTAGCTTATAGGATTGATAAACATTTAAATGTCTATTTGATTTGTTTTTTTCATTTGAGAAGGTAGTTATAAATGTCCACCCGAAGTGTTTAGTAGACTTTCTCTTTGTTCCAAATAAATAACAACTCACTCCATCTATACTGTATTTAATACGTGAACTAATTCAATAAAAAAAACTTTAATTTATGAAGGGAGACTCATTAAATATTTTATAGTTGATCCTATTTAGTTATTCACTTTTCAAAATACCTCATATTCGGTATTTAAGAAATAAAAGGGCTACAATAGCACTAAATTTGATATCATCGTAGTATCATACTACATAGAACTTCCTCCATCCCAAAATGTTTACAACATTTCCTTCTTAAACTGTCACAGAAACTATTTTTATATGTATGTTTTTTTTATTATTTGATAAAATAAAATATTCTTAACACCTCTTATTTTGAATAATTTTTCATGTAGTGTAAAAATATGTAAATTTTATTTTTTATTTCTATACTAATATCTAAATAAAATGAATTTAAAAAATTTGATATTTTGTCTCGCTCTTTGAAATATGGTAAACATTTAGGGACGGAGAAATATATTTTACTCAAACAATAATTCTTGATTAAATTTTAGTGTGTGAGAGACACGCACTAATAATGGTAGTGTTATCACTACAAGAAAAATGTGAATTTGTTACTTAGATTTGCGAGAGGGACTAATCCCTCGGACCCTTGCGATAAACGGAGCTAGCTAGCACCAGCAAATATCTCCCCAAAGGAAAATGTCGAAAGTTAGTGCACTACAAAAGGATATATAGCAGATTAGCAGTGAAAGCTTGAATCGAGCAACGTGATAAATAATCTAACATGAGGAGTTTAGTATAGGCTTACAATTTTTTCTCTTCAAACTTATCTAATTAGTTCTTATCTGATTCGATTAAATTCTGATTTGATTTAATTGTAGTTATATTTAAAGTTATTTTTTATTTGATCTGATTCCAAAAAAATATTAGAAAACATAAAAAGAAAAAGTTGAAAAGAACAAACTCTTATTATAAAAATGGACAATTGATTTCAAATGCCCAAAAAATTGAACAATTAAAGGGGATATACAATTCAGATTTTGAAAAAAAATGTTAAAATATAATCCATAGATTATGTAAAATCTTGGATTGTTTTGTCACCGATTGTTATAAAATCTACATGGATTTGAATATACTTTAATGTATTTTATTATTGTAGTTAATTTGTTTAGTTTCCAAAAAAAATTGTTCTGACATCAATAATTGATTACAAAATCGACTAAAATAATAAAAAGGTATAGATGAAACAACTTAGGATGGGGTTGCAATAATTGGATTGAGCAATAAAACACTTGGACTGAACCACAATAAAAGATTGAATCTAATCGATTACTTAATTCAGCTCAAAAGCTTATATACTGATTACTTTTTTCTTCAACTTTCGATGTGGGATAAATTTTAACAATAGATTAAAAATATAACTAAATTCAGCTTGGCAGTAGCCTCTTTTGAATTATCATTTTCTCTTTCAAACAATGTACGGAGTATCAAATACCTTTGAGGCGAACCAAACTTCATGTTCTTCAATCAAAATGTAAATGCAACCAAAATATAAATATTAAAACCCATCAATCACAATGTAAATTGAGCTTCTCTCTTGACTTGAGTAGCACGAAGACCACTTTCCAAGATCTTGTGGGATGTTGTTAACCCAGGTTCGATTTCTAGCGGAGATATTAGTTCACTTTGCGTTAATAGCACTCAGGAAAACATAAAGGCAACCAAAAATGCATTACTCAAGATGCATTAATCGATTAAGGCCTTGTTTGAGAACAATATTTTTTATTAGCGTTGGCGTAGCGTTTTGAAAAAAACTTCAATAGTGTAGATTAATTCTGAAAACATTAGCGCTAAAGGCTACCATCAGATATCTTTTTCAAAAAGCTAACAGTAATCTCTAACGCGGATGCTAAATGGAGCCTTAATCTTTAATGTATTACCCAAAATGCGAAACCTATTAAATAAGCCAAATATAATCTTCACTAACAAAAATAGACTTATACTTCATAGTTAAAACTAGTCCCTCCGTCCCTATAAAAACTTGGATGTTATTATAATATTATTCATGTGTCAAATTTTATCCATTTTTTTGTCTTTTGTTGTTATTTTTTGATAATAAGGAGTATAAAATAGTCATATAACATCTCGTTTCGTAGAATCTCTGACGCACAACAGTTCTTTTGACCTTGGAAATCAATGTCATATTATGAACCGAGGTTTTATGGTGATCTATTTGCAAACTTAACTTCTTAATCTAGAGAGAGAGAGAGTAAAGTAACAATGCAATGCAATAAAAAGAAGGTCATGTTTTTTTGGGTTGAAATTTCAGATTTGGATGTTAGAAGAAATTGGAAGGAGTTGGAATTTACTGAAAGGAGTTGGAAAATGTGGGAAGAATTTAACTGCTAAAAAATTACTCAGTTAAATGATCATTCAAATAAACATGTAAAGAAACTCTAATTTTGGATTAAAAAAATTCATCCTTATCCGTGTTTGAAGTGATATGTTATAAATTTAGATATATAATGTTATTTTATATTAACCATATATAAATACTTTTTTAAGTCATTGAAAAAAATTGAAAGGAGTTAAAAAAAAAGAATTAGAAGAAACGGAAAGAAATTGAGAGAAGTTGGAAATTAATTATTCTAATTCAAAAGAACAAGGCGGGAGAGTAAAATATGGAGTGTACTAAAATGTAAGTCGCACGAGGAAATGACTGATGACAAGGAGAGTATCTTTTTAAAAGGACAAAGGTTGATCCAACATCAACTTATACTCGTAGTTTTCCGAGAAATATTATTTGGTCCATAATGGCTGTATCCCTCTGTGTGGGGGAGTGAAAAATATAGAGGATGAAGAGTATTGATTTAGATAAACCCCTAAAAACTGTCATAATTGATATTTGTACACTCTTTTTTCCCAACATTGATTCCGATTTGAGCAAAATAAACTAATTTTCATATAGTAATCTTTTTTGTTTAATAAAAAATGTGTCAAACAAGCTCAATGTGTTAAATGATGTTAAACTACAAACAAATTTAAACACATATATATATAATGATATTTAATCATAGTGCATAACTGCAAAATTGTCTTTGAGGAACTCATAACGACCAATCCAAAATGCATTACTGAGTCAATCATAGCAAAAGAGTCATATTAGAGTTTATAATAAAAAAACGTAACCTCATATAATTCTTGAAAAATCACAAGACAACAAGTTCAAAGTCATCCGCGGAGATAACCGGGGATCTTAATGCGAACGAAAAGCATACTCATGACATACGCAATGACAACAGAAGAAATCCCAGCAGACGCGAACGAGATCCTTATGCTTTTTGCACGGTTGTGATCAAGGGCTAGGTCAAGAAGCACAATCCCAATTCCACCAAGGACGAACATGAAACCAGAGGTAAGCCCTTCGATGATGTACTGCCCGTTGACCCGACCCGTCATAAAGACAACGGGTCGCACGGACCCGGTCAAACGGTCCTGCGTGGACCCAATCCCTGGGGGCTCGACAATGACATCATAGACAATCCCAGAAACCACCATGAAGTAGGTTAGGACAATCAGGGTGTAGACAGTCATGGGGGAGGGGAGGGTCAGTGTGGGCACCTTCAAACGCAAACGAGGTGGACGGAGGAAAGAGTATGGCAAGATTCTGAGGATATGGAAAAATGGATCGATGGAGGTGTCCGCACCATCATCACAGTCAACTGCACTGTTCTTCATTACCCTATCTAAGATCATGAATAAAAAATTTAGCACACATCAATACCAGTAAAAACATATGAATAATTTGTACTTGTACCAGTTTGCAATAAGAAAGATTAGTTGACAAATTTGTTGTAATATATAATTGGGAAATGCTTATTTATAATAATTTTTGTAAGTATATACTCGCAGTTATAAATATTACAACAAGAAAGAGTCTCTGTTTCTTTAGAGGGGTAAGACCACGTACATCTTGACCACGCATTGAGATATACTAGGTTTGTTATTCACGTAATTATAAGTAGGGTGTTGCTATATCCACTCCCATAATGGATAAATCCACTCCATTCTTGTAAAATGGGCAAATTTGTCCTTAAAAGTTGGCTAACATCTAATATCCATTCATGTGTTCTTAAGGGAAAAGTGGTCCATTTAACTATAAATGGAGTGGATGTAGCCATAATGAGGGTAGATATAGCAACATCTTATAAATATTAATGGTCAAAATAGACAATGAAATTTGAAAACCATGAAAGTCATACTATACCAATCATTTTGGGACAGAGGTAAAATTTTGGAATTTTGGATTTAAAAACAGATCGAAAGATCGAAGAAAGAACCCTTTTCATCAAAACCTTGTTATAATACATTAAAACATTAGCATGGAAACACAGCTCAGGTGCAGTAAATAAAAACATAAAAATGAAAACATGGTATAGAAATCAAATGTCAAACACCTAATTTTTACTTTTTCCCAAAAAAAGTGTGGGTGCTCAATTCCTCTTTAAAATGGAAAACTAACCCAGACTTATTTGTACTCCTAAGTCCTAACGGAAAGATTATTTTTCAGTGATTACAGGTATATTCAAAACATTAGCAACGGTTTTGGTAATCTAGATAGGGTCCATGAGTGCATCCCTTATTTTTATGGTCCGGATTAGTCAGTGAAATCATGAGGGGCTCATTGTTCTGTTTTAAATTTTAGCTACAACAAAAAGGATGAGAAGTGGAGAAAAATATTACTGAGTCACTTGCAATAGAAATACACATAAATTAAAGTTGTGGATTTCTGCACCTTTCTTTTAAACCACACTACCAAAGAGTGAAAAAGAAGATAGAAAAAAAAAAAGACAACTCAAATTTTCCCTATATCCCATGAATCAATAGGTAACAATACCACAATACTAAGACATTAAATAAAAATAATAAAAAATGCCAAAAAGAAAAAGGAACTATGCGAGTTTCAATCTCGAGCTTCATCCAAGTAGAAAAGTAAGAAAACTAAGTGGAGAAAAAGTGGGTTTGTCTGGTGAATGAGAACAAGCTTTTCTTGGTGAGATATGCAAAGACGCAAGTCCGAGAGAAAGTTACCTGAAGAAGAAGAGCCAAAGGTGTTGAGGCTGGAACTTGCAGGCAATGTCTGATGCAATGCACATTATATTAGTAAATCTAAAATTACTGTTTCAAGACAGCTGCTCAATATGTAGTTTAAACCATTAAATACTGCAAATAATATTCATTAAAGACTGTTTTACGCCAGACGCTCGTCTTGTCGCAACCTTCTTCATGAGAATGAGTAATAAGATGAGAATTCTAAAACTGGCATCACGATATGATCCTTTTACATGCACGAAAAATATGACAGTGAGAATTGACATATTTTCTATTCTCACGCACTGCGGTGCCACTGCCTTTTTGGGGCACCTACAGTTCTCTGTTCGCAAAAGTATAATTCCTAGCCCCCCTAACCCCCTATAAACCAGACACCCCGGCCCGACCCGAACTCACCCCGCCACCCCTTGAATTGCACCCCCTAAATTTAGTTGACTTTGGAGTCAAATTTTTTGACCTCAAAGTCAACTAAATTTTAGTGGCAGAATTGAAGGGGGTGGCGGGTTGTGTTCGGGTGGGTGGGGATTTTCCGTCGGATTAGGGGTGGAAATTGTCAATTTTAAGTACTACCTTCGTCCCGGAGTATTTGTCCAATTTTGACTTTTTTCGGTCAACTGTTTTCAACCTTTGACCTATAATTAAATAAAATATATATTGTATATTAATTAGATAAAATAATATTTTGAAAATATTTGATATGATAAATCTAATAGAATTATTTTTGTATCAATATCTAATATCATTTTTATTTAATTTAAAGTCAAAGTTTACCAATTTTGACCGAAAAAAGTCAAAAGTGGACAAATACTCAGGGACAGAGGGAGTACATGGCACTGTAGGTGCTCCTATTTGAGCCGGTGTCGTCGTAGGCCACTCAAAGAAAGTGGCTCTAGTACCCACTGCGTTATGAAATCAGCCTACAAATAAGGCTAATTACTTTGCATTCTTTAAAAATTTTAAAAGTATAATCTTTGGCATGACAAATAACATAGCTCCATACTAGATGCATTCTTGTATTTTAGTACTGGGAAATACATAGGACAATGCATTGCATCTTTACTCCGTAATACTTTCTTCAGCCTTTCCCAATCATCAGTTTATCACAAATCACAGGCCATCTAAACTTCTAAAGAACTTTGACATTAAAAACAAACATTTCTTAAGGCAGGGCCAGTCGTGTGGGGAGGGGGGGGGCACGAATTCATTGCACAATTCATCAAAAATTTTGCACTATAAAAACTTCAAAAGTATTATAACCTTTCAAATAAAAAGTAGCCAGAAAACAATGAACTATCATACTTTGGAGCATTATAACCTTTCAAATTAAAAGTAGGTAAATGAACATAGCTAATATAGGATAAAATGACTATTAGTCTGTAATAGTGGAACAAAACTTATTTTGAATCTCGAACCAGTGATATAAACAATTAAACGTAGTGTTCGTTTTTTATCCCTCTTTTTTTTCTCTTTGTAAATTGGATCTATGATGATTTTATGATTTTCCGAAATCTGAGTCTTCAAGACTTGGGTAATCTATAATGTATTTCATAAAAAACTCATTTTCGACCCCTTATAATTGAGAAAACCCTTATTTTAATTGAATACAAAACAAACTAAAAAAAGAAGTAAAAAACAGAAAACCAAACAACACTATCAATGTATCATCATTCAAATTCAACGCTGAAAACCTGTGGGGCTGAGAGAAGGCGGCGGTCGACGGGGGTGGCGGAGCGCTGGGATCGGGATCGAGAGCGGGACCGGCTGAATTGCTTAGAAGACCAAAGGGCCGAGCCGCTGATTCACAGGCCTGCTCTTTTTTCTTGGAACTCTTTACTCACCCCTCACTTCCATTTCTTTTCGGGAGATGGGAGGGTTACACCAGTTCCTCCATTTGTCTCCCACCCTCTCTCCCTTTCTGATGGGTGTATTTCACCCATGACCGGTCAAAGGTCAGAACCAGATAGTTGACCGGTCAAAGAGGTCAAATTTGAAAGAGAGATGAATCGTCAATGGAAGGATAGAGGATTGACCCAAAAAGTTGACCGGTATATTTCGGATAGTACACCGGCCAAACCATGCCGACGTCTAATTCATCCTTTGGAGTTAGTGAATCCAACCTTCAAAAACCAACCGGTGCAGTTTTTAATGATTGGAGAGTGTCAGCAGGAAGAGTCCAAAAGGACTTGGACTGTAGTGGTTGGCATTGCTAGGGACTCAGTGGAGATGCTGAAGGAATGTTTCCAAGTCAGAACGCGACAAGGGAAGTAATTCTCCTCACAAGGCGACAGGGCAGCTCAAGGACAAAACCAGTCACCTCGCACCACATCAGCAGCGTGCCCCCACGTGGGCGCACGTGGTATTGTCTCCCTTAGCCTGGTATAAATACTCATGTAAACCTCAGAAAGAAGGATCTGAATTCATTCTCTCTAAACTCCCTTGTATAAGTTGGGCTACAGGTGGTCCACCGAAAGTCCTACCGGTCAATCTGCGTGTTTTTACCTTTCTTATTTTACCAAATCAAGCCAACTATTCTAGACCCGGTCTAGTATAGTTTGACCGGTCAAGTAATTTACACTATCACCCTCCATAACCACTCATTTGTATTTGATATTTATTTACTTATTTTTTTTTTAATTTTCTTGCCTATTTGAGTGGTTATGGAGGGGATGGGAACAAATAGGGTACACTTTTGGTGTACCCCTAGCATTTTCCTTTCTTTTTTTCTAGTTTATTTTCTTCAAAGTCATATTTCATCATTAATATCTCTATGTATATATTTTCATTAATTAAACAATACGATATTTTAAAACTATGTGTTGAAAGTAATGTATTAATATTAATTTTTTTAACAAAGTAATATATTTTTATCATAATTCATAGTTAAAGTTAAAAAAAAGTGACCACAAAAGTCAAAATGAGAAAGAAATATGGGACATAGCACATTGAAATTAATTTTTTCTAGTTTCTTCTAAATTTTTCTATTTTTTAAGTTACTACGTATTACTAGTTTTTTTACTTCGTCCAATCTTTCTAATTTCTTCCAATTTTATCAACATTTGACATTTTATTCATATTTTATCTACTTTTTTCCAACAATGACCCTAAAATTATATATTTTTCATGTGATTATTATTGTTATTATTATAATTATTATTATAATCAATAATATATTTATTATTATTATTATTATAAGAAACTGGAAAGTTTTGCAAAACACAGGAATAGGATGAAATATATAGCGTATAATACTTATTGCAACATTTTTTATTTTAGTTATTTCAAAAGTATAATCTTAATTATTTGCGGGGCATCCCAAGGCTTGGGCGAGTGGAGAGTGCATTGTTGGCAGAGGCTATTGGGGTCCAAGAGGCTTTGAAGTGGCTCAAGGCACATTTCTCACAATAACGTCTCGTAATAGAAATGGATAATCAAACGATCTTCAAGGCTTTACAGGAAGGCGATAATGGTTTCTCTTATTTTATAGGAATTATTCATGATTGTATGTTGTTGAAGTCTGAGTTCAGTTCTATTAGATGGTCATTTGCTAGAAGATCAGCAAATCACGTCACACATCTGTTAGCTAGGTATCTGATTCTATGTCTAAGAGTCTGAAGTGAGTGTTTGTCCCTCCAGATTGTATTTGCGATGTTTTAAGAGATATTGCATGAATAATACAGGAATCTTTTCCCAAAAAAAGTATAGTATTAATTTCTACATCTTTTATTGTTTTTTAATAATTTCCAACTACTTTCAATATAAAAAACATTGAAGAAGTTTTTAAAGTTATTATTCGAACAAGTTGGAAGAAATTAAATAGAGTTACAATATATAGAGTTTCAAAAGAATAATATTTATTTTCACATCTTTTATTATTTTCCAATAATTACCCACTTCTGTTTATAGTTTGTTCCGAGATTTTCAATAATTTCATAGTTTCTCCTAGTTTCTTTAAGTTTTTTTTAACCGAGCACACTATATTAACCATGAAATCAAGAAGTCTTACAAAGGGGTGACCCTATTACACACTAATAAAATGACAATAGTACCAGCTTAACAGAGGACACCAAATATCTAGAAAGCAAATTTATCTCCAAATCCCATCTTTATAATGGTTTTCAAATTTTGAATTTGGTGATCCTTTGAAACCTTTCTGCCGCAGTGAAACTGCATGTTCTTGGTCTTCCACACAAAGTAGCAGCCTGTTGTGATATAGGTTGCTATAAGCCAACGATCTTTCCTACTCTTGCCCAAACTGATTTTTCCTCCCAAATCAGTAATGGAGTAGGCTGCAGCTATGTCATAATGTATCCACTTTGAAAGCTCACCAAAAACAATTTTAGCAAAAGAGCAAGTGCAGAAAAGGTGATCACTTGTCTCTACCTCCAATCCACACAAAGAACAGGTAATATCCAGGTTGAAAAACCTACTCAATTTGTCCTTGGTCAGGATTCTTCCTCTCCATATCAGCCAAGCAATAAAGAAATGTTTAGGTATTGCACATTTGTTCCACACTAATGCAGTCCAATCCACCTTGCCATGGGTACCACATAACCATTTATACCCTTCCTTTACATTGTATTCATTCATTATCTTCATGCCTTTGAAAAGCTTGCCATTTTGTACCAGCTTCTTCCAGTAAAAAAAGTCAACCGGTTTGATTGTGTACTCCCACATGGCACAATGTTTAAGGTATTTGCTATGAACCCATAAGGAGTCCTTCTTCTTAGCCACATCCCACATGAGTTTCTTTAAGTTATTTCTAGTTCCTTTCAGTATTCCAAGTTTCTTCCAATTTTTTTTTATTTTTTCTAGTTCTGTCCATTTTTTTCAATATTCATCTCTTTTTTTTCAATTCTAAGAAACAGGATCTTACTCACTTATGGAGCATCTGATAAGTATACCTTGAGTGTAACGCCATGGCCCGATTATTTGAATTTGTTCGAATATCCGACTCGATGTATTAACGGGTCTAACTTTTTGAATCATAAAATGGAGCATTAAACACAATTTATTTATTAATATTAGAGTAACTATTATACATGTGGAAGCTTAACTTATTCGTACTAAAATTATTTAGGATAATATTTCAAACAATATTTTTATTCTTATCTGTCTTCATATCATCTCGCCCAACATTTCATCGCCTTAGAATTGTCCTCCGGCTTGGTCACTATTCTGTATGTGTACTTAAAAGAATAGAGCCAACCCGATCAACAAAAGCTGAGTGGTACTAATTATAATAATAGATATAAAAAATCATATCATAAACATATATTTTTTTCCAAAACTTTTTACCCGATAATATCAAATCATTTTTATTTCAATATTCTCTAAATCTATAATATTCTCAAATTTGGACTTTCTCTTTCTTCTAATTTATTTTTATTTAACTGAGATTTCAAGTACTTAACATACAAGACAAATCCATTAGGTAATTTGGATTTCGAGTACGTACTTAACGTACAAGACAAGTTTATTATTACGAGCTTGTACGTATGACATTTGAGGTGTACTGGTTAACCTGTGAACCGTAATTCACATACCATAAATTATTTACTAAATTTAGAAAATATAATTTGTATCTATTTATGTCCCATAAAATTCTTTGTATTCATATTTCAAATTCATCTCATATCATATTTTTCTCTATATAAATATTTCCATTTAACAAGGATGAAATCAAGATTTGACGATGTTCACCTCACTGTTTTATTTATCCATTTCAAAATACATTTCTTGTTTTGTTCCTATGATTACTGTTGTTGTTGTTGTTGTTATTATTATTATTATTATTATTATTATTATTATTACTACTACTACTACTAATATTGTTGTTGTTGTTGTTGTTGTTAGGTTGTTGTTGCTGTTGTTTGTGTTGATGATGATGATGTTGTTGTTATTGTTGATCTTGTTGTTAGTAATGGATGTAACAATATTGATTCTTGATTTTATAGTGAGGTGACTAAAGACCTACGTGTCCTCAAAGAGCTTTTGGTAGATCAGTCCAACATTCCAAAAGAGGAAGGTATGTCATTCCTTTGTGCATATAAGAGAATTGTTTTAGTAGTCTTGATGTGGACTATGAAGGATTATTTGATATAAAAAATAAAATGTGTAAATTTTCCCTGTTCCTAAAAAATACTTCTTCCATTCTTATTTGATTACAATTTTATTTTCTCTTTTTTGATATTTTTTATTTGTGTTTTCATTGATTATTTGATAAAATAAAATATTCTTGTCATTTCTTCTTTTGTAGAACTTTTGATATAGTTCTAAAACATACCAATCTGTAAATAAAATGATTTCAAAAATTTTAAAATTTTATCTCATAATTCTCATTTCGTAATCAAAATATGGATGAAGTGAGTAAAAAAATTGTCTGAAGTGAAAGAAAAATTATATGTATTTCACAAAAAATGAACTTTGTTTCCAGACATTTCATAAAAGAATACAAAACGAAAATCATTGGATGGCGTCATTTTTACTCCCTCCGTTCCACTCTCTTTGTCCACTTACCTTTTGGCACACCATCTAATGCACTTCTTTAATCCATTTTATCTTGTAATTTGTATATTAAAAAATTATAGAAATTATATATTAATAATCTATATGTTAAGACAAATCAAACAAGATCACACATGACTATATTTAGGCTTACACATTGAAAGAATTTGATGAGTCAAAGTGCTTAGATGAACAGTTCCAAAAGTCAAAAGTAGACAAAGAAAGTGAGACGGAGATAGTAATACCCAATTCTTGTCAAATGACGCCACGCACCATTGCCCCTTCATACGCGAAAATTGAAAAGTGTAAGGAATAAGTCCATTAAATACCTTAAATTAAAATGTTTATTTTTAGGGTTAAATTTTATTAATTTTCTTTTCTAATTTTATTACTGATTTGATAAAATAATATAGTTATGTCACCATTAATTTTGTAGATTATTTGATGTCGTTTTAAATTATATAGTTTTTATTTTTTAATTTTATACCATTTCTTATCTAAAATGATTTGAAAATATAAACGTATCATACATTATATTCTTTTTGAAGCAATATCCTATATTATAATTGATTTAATAGTATTGAAAAAGTTTTATTTAGTGTAAATTACTCTTAAGATTGAAGACCATTAATAATCAAAGCAATATATCTCTATACCGAATTTCCTAACCCACTCTTCTATACCATAGTTCAAGCATTGCCACATGTCTTTTTTTTCCTTTTTTCTTTTTTCTTTTGTTTTTCTTCCATGCTCGATAATTCAATAATCCCCCCACCCCACTCCGATCCTACCCCTATTCAATATTTAAGAGTATTCAATTATTAACACATCTAAGTATGAAAAAATGGAAAAATTATTTTAAATAATTTCATTTTTTTGTGTTCTCCCCACTTTTCAATGTCAGAGAAAATAATCTTAAATAATCCCACCTAACGGTTACTTAAAAAAACTTTTGAAAAATGCTTGTTAGAGATTTGTCTTAAATAATCCTAATTTATATTTTTAATTAAAAACATGATAGTACACTCTTGTTAGAGATTTGTCTCAAATTGTTTTAAAATATAACAATTCACAAATTTTGTATTCTATTTTGGACAAAATATAATAGTGGATTATCCAAAAATAATTCAGAGTATCGCTCGAGAAAGAAATCGCAATACAAAAAAAATATAGTGAGTTTTAAAAATAATTAGTGTCGCTTTGGAGAAAAAATGTTGTGTCATTTTAACAACTTTTTGAATTTTTATTTTGGAGAAAAATTTGTATTGAATTATTGAAAAGAATCACAAGTTTTGTAGTGCCATTTTGGAAAAAATAATATTAAGCATTTTGGATTATTATAACAAATTTGTAAAAAATTGTGTTGTAAAATAATCCTACCTCAATAAAATTGGAGCTTTTAAAAAATGTAAAAAGTTAAGAGGTAGAAAATAAAAGAACAAAGCTCTAGTTGCATTTGGAGTATAATTTTAATTATTTGATGGTTTATAGTTATTTAATTATTATAACGAAATAATATGGAGTAGTAATCATTGCAATAAGCTAGAATAATATAACAAATCACATGAATAATATTTAAATCAAACAGTTCTTTAAAAAAATAAAGACATAAAAAGTATTTTGCTACAAATGAAATTAGAGCTTTGTTATATTATGTTCTATTTCTTAATTAATGCTTTTCAATGAAAATATTAAATATTAGTCAAATATTAACACAAACAAATGTAAAAAAATAAAATTATACTCCAAATGAAATAAAAGCTTTTTTTATTTTTATTTCTAACTATGGAACTCTAAAGCTTTTCAACATAAATATTATTCTTATTTCATTTATTATTATTTGAAACAAAGCTTTAATTTCATTTGAACTATAAAACTGGAATATATTTTATGTGTTCTTATTTTTAAATTTGTTTGTGTTTATAATTGAATAGGAGTGGGAGGGGGTTGGATGAGGGAGCGTTGGAGCAAAACAAAAAAAGAAAAAAAAAGCGAAAATTACAATAGACATGTGGCACTGCTTTAACAATGGGATAGGAGAGTGGGATAGAAAAGTTGGATAAAACTATTTGTACTCCAAATTTTTGTACTCTATTTTATACACTGTAGGTTTGCACCGACATTTTGTGTTGATGTAAAACTAATTTTTGTTAATTTACCAATACTTTGTGTCCGTGTAAATTTTTGTTAACGCACCAACACTTGTGTCGGTATAAACCATCAAAAAGTTTGTGTATAACTGCGGTGTACACATGGGGTACAATTTTTAGTGTAAGTGTAGCATGACCCAGAAAAGTTTTCCAAAAAATAATCAAAGTAGTAAAATAAATGAAAAATGCTAGGGTGCCACCACATGGGTGCTATCATGGATGCACTCATGCTTCGCACAGACAAACACAGATGATAAGTGTCTATGCGACACCGCCGACACATAAATGTACCCATGATAGCACTCATGGAATGACACCCTAACATAGTCCAAAATAAAATATTGGACCCACGGGCTGAGGGAGTAGTGGTTAAATGGGGGAAAGGAGAAGTTTAGAAGGAAGAGCAAAACCTAATCTAAAAAATAAAAAACAAAAAACCCAGTGTAGAAGAGAGATGGGGGTTACGAAAGAGGAGGTTGAAGATTTGCTTGTTAAAGAGCTTCGTCCCGCACATCTGGTAAAGCTCTCTCTTTTAGCTTCCTGTTTATAGGCATATGTAAGTGTGCGCTGTGCATGAAACTCTTCGAACTTCTCTCACGAACTAGCGGATAATCTTGATTCGCTTTCTAGGAGATTTAGCTGATCCTAACAAATAGCTAAAGTATTTGGTAATAAATCATCAAAAAAATGTTTGTTTTGGAAGCATGTTATCATAATTTATGGTCTCTTTGCTCTAAATGAGACTCTGATGATATAATTTGGAAGACATGATTTGAATCTAGAACTTTTACTTTCTCTTTATAGATGAGTGTGCTATAATTTACAGGTAGATGAAACCCTAGATGAATGTTTCATTGGTCACTGGCTCAATTGCTGTCATAATTTTTGTAATCTAATTAATTGTTCAATTACTGGTTAAGTTTTGAACTTATTAATGATTTCCTGCTTCAATCTCTACTCTCTTTCTTTTTCAAATCATTTGGAGAGTTCCCATGTTCAAATTTTTTTTGGTTCACTTAAAATATGTTTGGTTCAAGGAATTTGAAAGGGAAAAGAAAAGAAAATGAGATGGAAAACAATTTTTCTTGTTTGTTTAGATATAAAAAGGGAAGAAAAGGAGAAAGAAAAGAAAATGAGTAGACAAATATTACTAAGAGAAGGGAAAACCGGATTCCTCCCATTTTGCTGAGGGAAATGAGAGAAACCCATTCTCTTTCCTTTTCCTTCCAAATTCCCTGAACCAAACATAGTCTTAGCGTCTTACTTTACTCCCTAGATGTCGCATTGCACCTTAGAATATTGCTCTAGTTTAATACTATGATCTTAAAAGAAAGATTAATAATAGGTACAAAGAGGGGTGGGGGTGGGGGGAGGCAAAATGTGTGATTGTGGCATCATTACCAGATTGGAGATATGTATTTAATCTGCTGCACTTGGAGAAGGTTACCTTCTTGCAGCTCATCATTCCTGTTGAGCTCGCTCTCCATGCCATTAATAATATTAATAATAGGTACAGAGAAGGGGGTGGGGGAGTAGAGGATTGTTAATCGTGGACCATAACTTGTAAGTTGCGTAGGATCGTAGAATAGTTTTAATGTTTAAAATTTATAACACGAACATCATTTAAAAAATAAAAAGCCATAAATCATAATCATAGCATCCAAATAAATAGAAATAGTCATAAGTTCATAACATCCTAATAAAAACAACTTCAAAAGTTCAAAAAAAGAATTGCAAAACATTGAGCATAACAATTAGTCTTCAACTCTTCATCAAACATAACCTTCAGTAGTAAGTCATCAATTCATCATCCATAACAACATGTCAACATGTTCATCATTGACATGAACACAACCTCAAATTTATCACGTGATTCATAGCCAATACCACCACTAGTTTCAACTTGAAGTATTTCTTCATCCGGGACATCCAAATGTGAACATCCATCATTTTCTTTTGCAATCCAATTGACATCAAAATCAAGGTCGTCAATATTTTAATCTTTTCCATGCCAGTTTCGCTTTTTGTTTGCTAATTTTGAATTAGCCATTGCAAAAACAATGTCATTCATGATCTTTTGCTTCAAGCAATTCCTTTTTTTGGCATGTATCATTGCAAACATGCTCTAGAACTGCATGTCAAATTCAATACTTGAATGAAAAAAATTTGTAGTTTTGGATGCGCATAACCATATGATACCCCCAGGATTGAGGCAAAGCTTGGGTTTAAGTTCTTGCTTTGCTATTGAACTACCAGAAAAAAAAACTTTTTTTTGGCTTTGCAATCCTCAAAATGAGCATAAATCTCAGCCTGTTCTCTAATATCTTCATTAACCTTTGTAAACAACCATATAGTTTCTTAAGCTTAATGCGAGCTTTGAAATTGGGACTACAATGCATAATTATGCAAAGGCCTATGCATTTGGTTATTCCACCTTTCATGAATGATGTCCGGATGTCCCACAATTTATATTAATAAAAAACAATTTATCAAATTATTAAGTGATGGACTTTAGTCCACTGGGCCGTCATGAATTTATGAAAAATATTACTGAGATAAATCGTAAATAAGGGAAAGATGATGCTGTAAGAAATTAAGAATGCTTCTGAATATTTAGAATTCGACCTCTTTTCTTGGCTTAGAAAAGGTGTATTTATAGAGTCCAGGAAGCAATTACAATTCACTTTTCCATGAGAGAGTCATGGATCGTCGATGATGACAAGCAAAAGCCTCACTACACCTAACTTTAGCACCTATCTTGCTTGCCACTCTAGCGGATTTGGACCTTACTTTCGGGTTGGGTTAGTTTGGGTCATATCACTTGGGTTCTTCACCTCGTCAGGATTTGTGAGTTTTTGTGGTCCGGGCCTGAATAATGATAAGATTAAACAATTAAACTGGATATATTGGGATTTGATCGTTTATACTTTTTTTTCCAATTCTAATATACCAAGAACCCCCCCCCCCCCACACACACTTTCTTTTGTGCTGGCTTAATCAAAAGAGGCAAGGCAATATAAGAAATTATAATTAAGAGCGGGAGGGAACATTGAACTTCAAACTGACAAGATGCTGTGCACGTGGGGCGTTTGAGGTGGCTTTGCAAATTCCCTAGGCAATACATCATCATAGCATCTCTCATCATTCCCAGCATCAATGTGGTCTTGGAACTTTAAAGAAGTGCAATTACATCTTTCTAGTCCTGTAAACTTCTTCGGTTTGGAAATAAACTGACAGCCTTGTTCTTTTCTTTTCAGGAAGTTATTGACAAATCTGGAGGGTACGTGAATGCTTGTCTACTATAAATATATGGAGTACACACCACCTTAAATGCCATACACACGCACACCGTTTTTTTGCTCTCATTTTCACAAATATCCATCTTGTCTGTACACAGACAAGACATCAAATGGATGTTGTGAGAATTGTATTTGTGTGGTGTAGAGAAGCATTTCCCAAAATATATATCAATTTTGCCGATTTGTGTATCTCAGTAGCTGACATGTTATTTTTGCTATAGATGTGGTGCATGCTTTCAGATTGAGATTGTTTCACAACAGTTTGAAGGCAAAAGATTGCTGGAAAGGCATAGGATGGTTAATGCTGCACTCGGGGAAAAAATGAAAGAAATCCATGCTCTCTCCATAACCAAACTTTGACTCCAGAAAAGTGGCAAGAACAACAAGATGAAGCTGAGAAGTAGCCTGAAGCGGCCACTTAAATCCGGCTCGAAGAAAAAATCCAGGCAGTTTCTCTTTTAATGTTAATGTTATCATTGTTTCAATTTCTAAAATTCTGATGTGGTTTATATTGCATAAAAGAGATCATGATAATTGATAAGCCTGTTTCATGCTCAACGAGTTCCTTTTTTGTACGCTTGATATTCATGAATATTTAATTGTGCACTTAAATAGGTCTATTTTTGGGTGCATTTTACATGGATTCGGGACCCATTTGGTGAGAGTTGAAAATATGGGTTATGATATCTCTCGATGGTTGTGATTGATGAAGGCAAAACAAGGCCACCCTCTGTCACTAACTATTCCCTCTTTTCGGTTTATGATATTTGACTGGAGTTATTTTCAAATTATTTTACATGAAAAATAGTGTACATCAAATTTTGACTCTAAAGTTAAAATTAACTTGTGGAGTGCAATTGAAGGGGTGGAGGGGTGTGTTCGGGTTGGGACGGGGTGGGGGGTTACCAGGGGGGTTACCGGGGGTTTAGGAACCGTCAATTTTACGAATAGGGCACTGGAGCGCCCTGGGTTATCCCATTACATTGCCGCACAATGTCATGGGAACCTTGCCCTTTATTCAAATTAAGTTATTGCAATATACTTTATTCATTTTGTATTGATATAATAAGTTATTTAAATGAGTTTTCTCTTTTTTTCTTTGATGCTTAAGACATAATTTGAAAGTTAAATTACAAAAAATAAATCTGACATAATTGAAAATAAGAATTGTTTTACCAAATGGAGGTAAAATAAGTACTGTTTTACCAAACGGAGGGAGTCCATCATAGAACTAATATACTGCTATGGAATATTGGAACTCGAGTGAATGCAATTCCAAATTTGTCCCTGCATTCCACACTGCCAAAAAATGTGTTTAAGTTGGTATACACTTTCAGAACATGGGCATAACACACTGCTTTCATACCTCCTATTTGAAAAAGTTTTTTTACGAAGGAATGAAAACAAGGGTACGATGAAAAAATTGGGAGAAGAAAATTAAATTAGTTTCTCTCCTCTTGTTTGGATTTGTTTGTTAGGACTTTGTATTCACCATGCTTCCTCTCGTAAAACATCACAAATACAATCTAGAGGCACAAACAACCACTCCAGAATATCAGATAAAAAATCAGATGTTCTAGCTAACAAATGAGAAACATGATTCACCCATCTCCTGACACATGACGAATTGGTGCAAATAAATTCAATTTTCCATAACACACAATCATGGACCACTCCCACAAAATACCAACACCCATGAACACTAACTTGTAAAGCCTTGAAGACGGTCTGATTGTCTATCTCCACGATAATCTTTTGGCGTGCAAACCCTGCCTTAAGCCACTTTAAAGCCTCCCGAATCCCCATAGCCTCCACCATCAATGCATTCTCCACTCGTCACAAGCCATGAGATAAATGCATGCTCCGCATATAAACCTTCCTTGCGCGTCTCGTACAGCCATCCTGGCTCGAGCAATCTTTTGTGGATAGGTTAAAGCTCGCATCTACATTAGGTTTAATTGAATTTATCTCATGTCAAACTCAGAGCCAGACAGTGGTCTTTATCCGTTCTCTCCATGTTGGGTAACGATTTATTTGCGTCAAACCACTCCTCGTACCACCGTGTTTCTTTTGCCCCTAATCGATCTGCCATCATACATCTATGATGCCACACGATTTGGATACTTTAGGATGAAAAGAAAGTAAATTTATTTTACCCTCTAATTAATATTTCTTTCGTTCCCGAAAACGATTCTTATTTTGACTAATGAAAGAAATAAAGAGTATATATTTGTCGTTGACTTTTTAATTACCCTTGATGTGATAAGTAAAAGTAAGATGTGATGGATAGATTATTAATAAAAAAGTACGATGTGATAGATATGGTAAGAAAAAGTAAAGGTAAAAGTGAGTTTTCAATAGAAAGTGAAAGTATTTTGGTGAAAAATAAAAAAAGAAGAAGAATTTTGGTAAATGAAGAGAGTAGAACGAATGTAATTTTTTTAATTTACTACTCCGTATTTTTCATCCTTATTTTACTTAAACACATTAATTTACTCACCCCTTTAATTTCCATCATTTTCTTTCCAACAAATCCTTATTTTCCCTCTTCTAAACAAAGGGTACATCCGTACATGGGGTGAAAGTCCTAATTATTTCCGTCCACCTATTATATCCAAACAAGAGATAGGAAAATAATTTTATTTTCCTCTTCAAAATTTCACATCCTTATTTTCTTTCCTCTCTCAAAACCTATCCAAACAAAGAAAAAACATTGATCATCAATTAAATAAAAAATATATTGGACATTAGTATAAAAATTATTTCATTAGATTTATCTTCTCCAAAACAATTAGGAATATATTTTATTAGCTTAATAAGTAATGTGTTTTTTAACGTAATTATTGAATAAAATTCATGTAGTTTTATTTTAAAATATCAAACTTGATAAAAACTTTGTGACGGATGAGGTATATAATTTGAAAACATAAATATTAAGTTGGAATTTTCCACGTCAAAAGAAATGTGATAGAAAGTTTGTTGGTGTACAAATAAGGTACTCCCTTCGTCTCGTAAAAGTTTTTCAGTTTTGACTTTAGGGTAATTTAAGTGAACTATATTTTGGTGCTTGCCTTGCACAAATGCCCTCAGAATTTCTTTTTAAAAACGATATTTCACATCAATATAAATAGTTAAAATAATAGAAAGGACTAATTAAAAAAAAAGTAAGATGAGATGTGACGGATGAGATGTGAGAAAGTAGGGTTAAAGAAAAAATATTTTACTCTATTTTGGAGTAATTGAATTATTTTATGGGACGAACAAGTTAAAAAAATTGAAATATTTTGTAGAACGAGTAAACTTTAATACCATGTTTAGAATTAAAATTTTATTGGGAGGGTATTTTCTGGGAGAGCAGTCACTCAGAAGTCAGAATCTGCTAAAGCATAAAGTCAGCACTTTGTGTGACAATTAATTTCTTGAGAAATAATACTCTATTGGATGGAGTAATTATTTGCCGAACCATCCACTTTGGGAGGTACGTAGTTGATAAACAAAAGTTTAGATTCTGCTGATGCAAGAATTACTTCTCCCTTTTATACAGTAAAACGGTACGAGTGTTTGGCATTCGAATTCGTACGTAAGATTTAAAAAATTGAAATTACTTGGTGGAAGAGGTGAGACCTTTTTATAGGATAGACAAATGTAAAACTTTTTATGGACGGTGGGAGTATTAGTTTTTGAGACCTTTTGGGATGAGTATGGACAACTGAATTTGGTAATAAGACAGTTAGGTTGAACGACATTAAAAGATTGAATCTAATCGATTAGTTAGTTTAACTCAAAAGCTTATATACCGATTATTTTACTCATACTTTTCTGATGTGGGATACTTTTTAACACTCCCCCTCAAGTGGACAACCGGGTCATTTTGAATCTAACCGGTTGACCACTTGCAAATTAACTCTCATTCTCTTGACTATTTTTTGAACGCCAACACCTAAAGGACCACGAGCTACTAGGTATGGACTTTCAGACGAGCAATCGTGTTAAACGGGCCACAGGCCGTTGAGTACATACTCCATACGGACAACTGGGCTAAAGACTAACGGACCGCTAGGAATGAACGTCTAGACGGACACTTTGACAAATCAGGTGGACCAAAATCTTTAGTCATTATTTATTAGTCAATATTCAACTAAATGTCCAGCATTACTTGGACACTATTTTTCTCACTAGTCATTATTAAGTTCTATTTAAGGAATAAAAAAGTTTAAGTCCTATATTGGGAAATGACTTATATTTTAGATCTATTCAGTGCAAATTTCACTATTTATAATGCAAATGAAAAACAAATACGGAGTATTTCCATCCATGTATGATCTTCCCATTACGCGTTACGAGGCTTGACCGACTTTATTTTCAATTCAATTTAATTGATTATAGGAGTAAAATTTTAAAATAAAATTTATATAGTACTAATAAACTACATGAAAAGTTCTACAAAACTAGAGGTGACAAGACTATATTATTTTATGAAATGACTAGTAAAATTGAGTAAATAAAGTGAGTAAAGTTTGACCCTGTGAATAGTGTTTGGGAAGATCTATGTTGGACAGAGAGAGTATTAAATATGAGAAATTTTTAAAAAATTATTATTTTTATGGTTAATATCTATTCACACTTTTCTCAAATTAATGGTGCGCGGCGAGTCAATTGCTCCTTTGAAAATCGAACTAAATGAGCATTTCACAAGATTTTGGCCTTGTTTGAGAAGAACGTTTTCGATTAGCGTTAGCGTTTATGATAAAATATTAACGGTGTAGATTAATTCGAAAAACGCTAACGCTAAAAGCTACCGTCAGATAGCGTTCTCAAAACGCTAACGCTAATCTCTAACGCTGATGCCAAACGGGGCCTTTGAAAACTAGTCTTTCTTTGGCTCAAGAAAAAATATAAGCTCAAAAAGGTTTACTACAGGCCTGTTTGGGAACAGCGTTAGCGATTAGCGTTAGCGTTTTGAAAATGCTATCTACGGGCAGCGTTTAGCGTTAGCGTTTTCAAAGTAATCTGCACCGTTAAAATTTTATCCAAAACGCTAACGCTAATCACTAACGCTATTCCCAAACAGGCCCTACGTAATTTTAACGTTCTAAAAGGTAGCTAGTGTGTACCATTATTAAAAGATACTCCATAGTCCATACTAAAAAGGGACAATTTAAAGAAGGTATAATTTTGATGTTATTTTTTAATTTTGCACTTACTTTATACTTCCCCAACCCCAAAATAATTTTCAACTTTGTCTTTTCATGGGTTACTATATGATACTTTGATTGTAATTGCTACATTATATTATATATTCATATTTTAAATAAAAATATGGTATTTTAAAAATCCATTTCAAAACGAATCAAATGATATTAAAATTACAATATTATGTAGGTACTCTGTATTCAATATATTCTTTTTGAGTTTTATTTTGGGACGGAAAGAGTAGCTAGTAGGGAAGGATAAGATGTGATCGTTAAGTTAATATTCAATAAATATAATGTCATAAGTAGTTTAACAATTACCGAGTACTATGGTTGAATAACATATTTTAATTTAAATTGGAAATATATTTAAGAACGAACGAAAAGTAAAACGAGAATTTTTTTTTGATACGGAGAGAGTTATTCATTATTTATTTTTCACATAATGTGAATAAAAGGGCTGCAAAACAAAAACATTTGTAGTAAGAAACTATTTAGATAAGGAAGAAGTAGAGAGTTGAGAAGAACGATCCATTTCTTTAGAATGAATGTGAAGTTTTTTTAGCGGACAAAAATATAAAGAATGAAATTTTTTATGAAGAGGAGTATCTAAAACATGCACTTATGAAGAGGAGTATATAACAGACTATATATATATATATATATATATATATATATTAAAATAGAATTTTTAATATTTTTATTATAATAAAATACTCCCTAGCTCCATTCTAAAAAATACCTCATCTTTCATTTTTTTCCCACTTCCAAGTTCCAACAAAACACTTCCACTTTCTATAAAAAACTCACTTTAACCTTACTTTTTCATATCCTATCTATCAAATCTTATTTTTTTCTAATAATCTATCCATCACATCTTACTTTTATCCATCACATCAAGAGCAAAATTGGAAGTCAACTACTCTCTCCGTCCCCCTGTATTTGTCCACTTTCATTTTTACACATCATCCAATGCACTTCTTTAATTCATTTTATCTTGTAATTTGTATATTAAAAAATTATAGAAATTATATATTAATAATCTATATGTTAAGAAAAATCAAACAAGATCACACATGACTATATTTAGGCTTACACATTGAGAGAATTTGATGAGTCAAAGTGCTTAGATGAACAATTCCAAAAGTCAAATGTGGACAAATACAAGATGGCGGAGGGAGTACAATTTAGCACTTTCTTATTTTTACACTTGGTCAAAATTGAAATTCTTTCTGAGAAAGGATTGCAGGGAGTAGGACTTGCAAAGATTTGAAGGGCTAGTCTACCATCTTATAAGTACTCCGCGTGTCTCAAAACCATCTTTCGAATTCGACTTGACTCGATTTTTAAACAAATGCAATAGTGATGATTATGATATACTCCCTCCGTCCCATGAAACATTTCTCCTTTCTTTTTTTATCCGTCCCACAAAACAGTTCTCATTTCTATTAAAAAGTCACTTTTACCCCTTACATTTTCATACCATAACTATCGCATCATACCTTTTTACTAATAATCTATCCATCAAATCATACTTTTACCCATCACATCAAAGGACATTTTTGGAAATTCAATGCCAAAATACACTTCCTTAAATCCTTCCTAAAAAGCAAATGTCCCATGTTTCACGGGACGGAGTATATATAAACGAAAAAGAATTGACATGGATCACATATGACGGGAGAGATGGAATAGTGACTTGTGGCACGTGTAGGGNTGGACTCCATATGTATCCAACCTATAAAGGGGGCTTCGTGGATCCTAAGCATCACGCACACTACAACTCATCATCCATCCATCCATATATCCGAGTTAATTAGACTAAATATAAACCAAGGGAATAAATAAAAGAATGAGCAGTGCAGGCGCAGGAGGAGGAGGAGGAGGGGGAGGGGGGAAAGAAATGATGATGGGAAGGATAGAGAAGGTGCAGCAAGTGGGGGCGATGCTGGCAGTGTCGGTGTTCTTGGGAGGGAACATCGTTCTCTCTAAGGTGGCTGCCAATGACGGCATGCCCGTGAGCATTATGGTGGCTTACCGCTGGATCTTCGCCACCGCCTTCCTCTCTCCCATTGCCATTGTTGTCGAATGGTATGTGTCCATCTTTATTCCCCCCATTGTAATAATGCACTAGCTACTCAAGCATGCCCCATTCCAGTTTACACACAGACATATATACACTTTGAGCCCTTATATTTTTTTAAAGACTAATATATAACACAAATCCTTACGTACTGTCATGTTTTTTTTTAAAAAATATTTTATCAAATCTTAAATTTTAAAATTTAAAAAATACGTAGGAAACTAAAAGTCTCGAATAATCTTGTCGTCTTTCATTTTATTACACAAAATAATTCTTTTTTTAAAAAAAGTCATTAGGTCACCGTGCGTTATCCCTCTAAAGGTAAATCAAAACTCACACACACGCGAAACATGTTTTTAATACGCGTAATATCGACAAGTGAAATTATTTTGAAGGTCGCTCAAGGGGGGTGAGAGTTCAGATAATTTTTCCTTTGAAATCTAGTTAAATTTTAAAATTTTAAAAACAGCAGCAGCCCAGTTTTGGTTTTGTTTTTTATACGGAGTATGAATGTTTCGTTATACTCCACCCTAAATTGGACAACAAATTTGAATGTACTTAATTGCACTAGTTCTAAATTTATTTATTACTCATAATACGATATTTAATTAGTTCTAATATAGGGAGTATCTTTTCGAATATATATAAATGTAATTCTTTCTTTTCGAGTTATTCTTCCGTGGTTCTAAGGTGCACATGTGAAATGTGAACTTTTTCACACTTTGAATGAACTGACAAGTGAATCCTTTCTTTCTTTACAAAAAAAATAATTTTTTATAATACCAATACACACTAAGATCTATAAAATAAACATGGTCTTTAATAGACCTGGTGATCGGGTCAATCAGTTTGGTTCCGGTTCAGGTCTCTTTCGGATATATATTATAATCGATTCGGATCAGTTCGGTTCTGGGTTTATTTTGGTTTGACTAGTTTTTGGTTTCGGTTCAGGTTTGTATCAAGGTCGGGTTTATATCGGTACGAGTTTGTTTCGATTTGATCGGGTTTGTATCGATTCAAGTTTATATCGATTCAGGTTTATATTAGTTCAAGTATATCTTAAATATAAACTAATAAATCAATAATATCACATAATAAGTTTAGTCAATTTAGTATATACTCTGTATTTATTTTATTATATTTAACACGGACGTACATAAAAAATGAAACTTACATAATTGACTAATTGTTTACATTCTAAAGTTTTTCCCTCCAAGTTCATTTGGTAAATGAAATATTAATGAATTTGATCAATTTCGAGTCTAATCAGTTTCGGGTCTAATCGGTTACGGGTTTAATTGGTTTCGCATTTAACCGGTTCGGGTTTAACAGGTTTGGGTTAAATCGAATTTGGATCCGAATCGGATCTGAATATATTTGGTTCAGTTTCAGTCCGGTTTGGATCATTTTAATTGGTTGTTCAGTTCTATTTCAGTTCTTTAGTGTTTGGGTCAATTCAGGTTTGGTTGCGGGTTATTCGGTTCGGGTTATCGTGTCCGAGTCAGTTTTGTCAGGTCTAGTCTTTAAGACCACACAAGAATTTGTTTTTTTCAATTCTTTTCTAATACCAAAGTGGAAAAGTTAGGTTAATTACAAAAAAGATACAATAGAAAATGAGTTCTGCTTCAATGATCCTAGATTCACATCTGAATCTTTTCACACCTTTTATGGCCGGAATGTGAATTTTTTTATTTTTTTTCAAAAAGTCCAATTCATCTATGATAGTTACCGGAGTATATACTAATGTCCATAGAATGAGTGTGAATAAAAAAATTTGTCTTACAAAACATTATTTATAAGAGTAATTTACCTAAATAGGACTAAAACGTAATGACTTCTCAATGTAGGACCATATATTTTTATTTTCCAATGTAGGACCTTTAGTCATTATTTATTAGTCAATATTCAACTAAATGTCCAGTATTACTTGGACACTATTTTTCTCACTAGTCATTATTAAATTTTATTTAAGGAATAAAAAAGTTTAAGTCCTATATTGGAAAATAACTTATATTTTAGACCTATTCAGTGCAAATTTCACTATTTATAATGCAAATGAAAAACAAATACGGAGTATTTATACTAGTATTAATTATTACTCCCGTCATCTAACGCATAAAATTTTATTAAAATGATTCAACAATTGAAGTCATAAAAGAATATGGGTTTGATGTCATAAAAGAATATTGGAATTTAATTCGAAGAAATTCCAATAGAATAAGGATATATTCTTTTTGTAATTTAAGATTCTTGTTCATTTTATAGAACTTTAATAGCTAAAATAATTATACTCTAATCCGTATATATTAGGTCTTGTAAAAGGAAATCTAAATATGGCTTATGAGCTCATGAAAAATATATAAGAAAAAATATATATTTTCCATGTGAGTTTTAAACCTATATTAACACAACTCCATTCAGTAGTAAATGCAAAAGTATTTTAGATAATTTTGTCAATTAAAAACATCTTACATCTTACTAAACATTTTTTTCACGAACAGTTGGAACCAGACAATTCTAACAACTATATTCGACTAGCAACTACTCCCTAGCTTCCTCCCAGAGTAGAATGAATGTCACTTGGACCATGCTACACTTACACCAAAAAATATACCCCATTTGTACACCACAGGCTTGCACAAACATTTCGATGGTTTACACCGACACAAGTGTTGGTGCGTTAATAAATATTCACACGGACACAAATGTTGGTGCGTTTAACAAAAATTAGTTTTACACCAACACAAAGTGTTGATGCAAAACTGCGGGGTACAAATTGGGATACAAACCTTGGGGTACACATAGCATAATCCATGTCATTTTGCAAACAACTTTTGTAAAAACAATCGACAAGAATATTTTATTTTATTAAATGAATAATGAAAAATTCAAACAAATAAACATTACTAAGATATCGTAATAGGAACAGTAACATCCATTTAGAGACGGAAATAACAAGTCTTTGTCACTTTCATTCCCCATATATGGAATGACTATTGTTATTTGCACTCCAACAATTACTAATGACACTCTACGTTCTTTCAAGAAATATTTGTACTAAATAGCGCTAAAACTTAAGTCATTCCCCTAAATAACACTTAAATTGTTTTATTTCCTAAATATCACCTAATAATGTCCATAATGTCCAGTGATGGCGAACAATTACTAATGACACTCTATGTTTTTTCAAGAAATATTTGCACTAAATAGCGCTAAAACTTAAGTCATTCTCCTAAATAGCACTTAAATTGTTTTATTCTCTAAATAACACCTAATAATGTCCAGTGATGACAAATATTTACTTGAATAATGACCAATGGATAATGACTAAAAGTGCTACATTAGGAAAAAAACACATATGGTGCTATTTAGAGAAAGTCATTATGTTTTAGTGCTATTTAAGTAAATTCCTCTTTTTTCAATTCCTAGCCCGCTAAAAGTGACAATTAGACTATTAGAGCATCATTATTGGAAGGGTTGTTTGAGAAGAGACGATGATATGCAAGGGATGATAGTGAGAGAGGAATGATTAGTATAAAGTGAGAAAATGTAGAGGGAGAAGCGGAGGACTGGAAGAAGTAAAGAACATGCCCCCGGGAAAGAAAAAGAAAAGAGTTAGATGACGAAAGCCGATGAAGAAAAAAAAGGAGAAAAAAAAGGAGGAAAAACAAAAGATTGTGGCCATGTTTGGTAAATGTCGGTTTACCCAGCATTTGGCATCTTTGACCGTAAACGACGGATTAGATTAGTCAAACCGCCAAATTAATTGTTTAGATAACGGCTTTTGAAATCGGCATTTAGAATCGAACAGCTAAAAATTGAAATGTCAAGCCTAGCAGCATTGAAAATTATAATATAAAATATATCATGCATGGTTGTTATTTGTAAAATGATAAATGAGAAAAATACAAAAAAAAATCTACTTATAAAATATAAATGTAAATTCTCATTTCCTAAATTAAAAAAAACAAAGTAGCCTTTTTTGTCCAACAAAAAAATATATGTAAAGCATTTTCTTGTATAATGTGTGTATTTTATCAAATTAAAAAAAATCAAATCATACACAAATTAACATAAATGGAGGATTTCCTTATATATGTAATTTTACTCACAAACAGCTAACTATAAACCGCTAAAGTTACCAAACATCTAATTTTTAAGAGCTAACACAAACAGCCGGTCAAAACAACTAACTCAATCAGCCATTCAAACCCAACAGCCAACTGCCATGTTTCAAACAAGGCTTGTATTCCCTCCGTCCTAAAACTATTTTCCCGCCTGTGTTTACAAAGTTTGACCGACTTTATTTTCTATTTAATTTATTTAATTTTAGGTGTAAAATAAAAAAATAAAATTTATATATTTAAGAACTACATCAAAAGTTCTTAAAAATAAGAGGCGACAAGAATTCCGAAAATAGATAAAGAAAGTGATTTAAGTTTGATCGTGTGAATAGTAACTGAGAAGATCGTTTTAGGGGTATGAGTACTCATGTCTTTTTCTAATTATTTTTTGTTTTTTCCCTAAATAAATTTTAGTTTATGGTTTATACTCTTTGATCAAAGTTATTATTAAGTTAGTTTATTTGGGTATTGATTTAAAATTAATATTAAAATGTAGATGTTTAAAATTGGATAAAAAATTGAAATAAAATGTGACAATAATTTATGTAATGTAAAAGAAAAACTGTTAACAGTATCGCTGGAGAATGCGTGCGACGTTGGTGATGAAAATGAATGATACATCAAAAAAAGCATTTGTTGACTTTACCCAGCAATATTTATCGAGAAAGAATTTTTGTGATGTTATCTACTCTCTACGTCCTTCGAAAATATTATTCACATTTGACTTTTGCTTAATCAAAGTTTGTAAACTTTGACTTCATTTAATTATGGAAAAATACATTTTATTATAATATAAATTTAATATCAATATATTCTTACCAAATATCAAATATTTATAAAATATATCTATAAATAAATATAGATATTAATACTCAAAAAGAAACATTGGGACCATAAAAAGTTTAATGTGAAATACATTTCCGGACAGAAGGAGTAATATTGCCGCGTGTCACGCTTAACGTTGCAAAAGTTAAAAGTTAAATCACATCTTATTTTATAACTTTTGATGTTTTAAATATATCAATTTTATTTTTTAAATTTATATCATTAGGCCATGTTCTATTGAGTTTAAAAAATTAACTTCTAACTCCTTTCTGTTTTTTTCTACTCCTAATTTTTCTGACTCCTTCCAGTTTAATCCTACAACAAATTCAAAATATGTTTATATATGATGAATATACAATAATATTATATATCAAAGTTTATAACTTACCACCTCAAATAGAGATAAGGATGAATTCTTTTTTATCCAAAATTAGAATTTGTTTACCTGAGTACATATTTATTTGGATGACTATTTAATTGAATGAGTTTTTAATGCTTTAATTCTTCCAACTTTTTTTAGTTTTTTTTCAAATTTTTTTCAAAATTTTCTAACATGCAACTCCGAAATTCGAACGAAAAGAACATTACTCATAAAGTGAATTCAAAACAACCTCACTAAACTTTGTAACTAAATAAGAATCTATCTAAAGACATGAAAATATTTCCTAAGATCCCAAATATATCAAAAACATAACCAACAACAAAAAAAAAGGCAAAATAATAAAAAAGAAAGGGATGACAATGAGTAAATACTCCATATTAAAGAAGGTTAGAAGCACTTAATTGTCATTTTAGTTATTTTGGGGGGAAAAAAAATTGGAGTGAGACTAACCATTGTTGGAGTGCAAACAACAATGGCCCACGTCTACGGTCTACCCTACTAATATTTGTTAGCTTAGCGAGACAAGGGAGCTGACAAAAAAAAATTGGATTATGCTATGTGTACCCCAAGATTTGTACTCCAATTTGTACCCCGCAGTTTTGCACCAACATTTTGTGTTGGTGTAAAACCAATTTTTGTTAAACGCACCAACATTTGTGTCTGTGTGAATTTTTATTAACGCACTAACACTTGTGTCGGTGTAAACCATCAAAATGTTTGTGCAAACCTGTGGTGTACAAATGAGGTATATTTGTTGGTGTAAGTGTAGCGTGGTCCAAAAAAATTATGTGAGAATCAACCTAAATTCTCCTTCCCACAAACGGCACAAATAAAGAAGTTTATTTCGCCACTTGAGTTACCCTTGTGAGTTAACGCCTCATAATTACCTTTGGATTAGAACTTTAAGTTACCTCTTTGGGTACATCAAATATATAGTTATATGAGTACTTACTATATGGAGTACGAAGTATTTATTTTATCCCATAAAAACTTCTATCTTTTCTAATTATAATTATACTCCCTGTTACTTTAACCTATAGAATTTCACTTTCTTAATCTTCGTATCAACTCAAATGTAGATTTTTTTTTTATTAAAACACTATTTTATTTTTCTACCTTTTGGTGCAGGAATAAGAGGCCAAAATTGACATGGATGATCTTACTTCAATCATTTCTATCAGCTATGTTGGGGTGAGTATCTTTTTTCATGTTGGACTGAATCAAACTTGATTTAAAGAGTTCGGGCTTAATATTCACAATGTCAAATTTTATTCTCTTTTTCTCCTTATTTTCGTTAGTCCCTTAATAAAATAATTTAATAATGTCGACATTAGTTTTGTAGATCTTTTGATGTAGTTTTTAAATATGTAATTTTATTTTAGACCATTTTCATATAAAATGATTTGAAAATAACTTGAGTCAAATTTGGTAATTCGAAAGGCGATTTAAATTGGAATGGAGGGAGTAATTGATTAGAGGAAAGAGAACGATTATGAACTACATATTATATTCTTTACTCCTTTTATCCCCAAATGAATTACACTCTTCGATTAATGTGCAAAATCTATCTTTTTTAATTTTTTTACAAATTGGTATGAATATAATAAATAAAATTTACATATTAAAAGATTACATCAAAACTTTTATAAGCTAAGAAGAGAAAAATATGTTATTTAATGAAAAGTGAAAAAAAATGAAATTATCATGACACCATAACTAGAAGTTTGTAATTCATTTCAAGGGGTAGAGGAAAAGAGTGTTGTTTTGATAGGGGAGGGGGGATAGGATAGTTTTAATAAGAGAGGGGTAGTGTTAGTTAAATTATAGGGGTTGATGGGTATATTCACCCAGAACTGGTCAAAGGGAATCTTTCAAAATATTGGACCGGTCAACGTTAAATTTCTGGAATGGGAAGGCGAAACGATACTGGGAATGTATTGGTCAACGATAAAATCTGATCGGTATACTTCGAATGGTCTACCGGTCAAAGTACTCGACTTACACCGATGATCCCCAATTTCAATAAACCCATCATATCCCTTGGAAATCACCCGGTATGATTTCTAGAGTTGGAAAGTGTCGCCAAGGAAGAATCCAAAGGAAATTGGACTGTACATAGCGGCCAAATTCAACGGATGATCGTTGGAGATATTCGAACAATCAGTCCAATGCGCTAAGTGACAAAGGAGTCACCTTCCTAACTAGAGGACAAGGCCACTAGAAGACAGAGATAATCACCTCGCACCACCCAGGAACGTGCCCTGACGTGGATGTGCGGCACTTTGTCCCCATTGACTGAGTAATTTACCTAAATAGGACTAAAACATAATGACTTTCCCAATATAGGACCATATGTTTTTATTTCTCAATATAGGAGTTTTGGTCATTATTAAGTAGTCATTATTCAAGTAAATGTCCATCATAACTGGACATTATTCCTCCCACAAGGTCATTATTGAGTCTTATTTAGGGAATAAAAAAGTTTAAGTCCTACATTAGGAAAGTCATTATGTTTTAGTCCTATTTAGTGCAAATTTCACTACTATAAATACCAGTGTAACCCTCAAAGGATGAGCTCAAATTTCTTCTCACTAAAGCTCCTGTGTAAAAGCTTCCGTGCATCCTACTATATTCGAATATCAATTGGGCTACAGGTGTTTCCACCTACAGTCCTCCCGGTTATTTTGTGTGTTTTTATCTTTTACTATTTCGAATCCAGTAATCAATCCTAGACCCGATCTATAATTGTTTATCCGGTTAAAGTAATTTACACCATCAGGGATGTAGATGTAATAAACCCTTCATCTTTTCTCCTTTTTGCAATTATTAATCTTTTCTTTTTCTCTTTTTAAGTCGCAAAGCGTAATTGAAGAGGTCAAGGTCTCAAGCATAATGAAATTCCCCATAAAAGTAACTTGGGGTCATTTAATTAAATATCATCCTTATTCAATTAAAATCCCAACACTCCAAATAGACCTGTCAACGAATTGGGTTCGGGCCGTTTCATAGTGTTCTATATCCATATCCTTAAAAAAATTAATTCTGACTCTAATTCAATTATCCGACGAGTTTTGAAACTTTATCTTAGATTTAGACCCATTAGGTCTCGGTATCGGATCGGGTATGACTATGATAAAAGTTGACGTCTTTTATCTTTGTATAATTGATAAATATTAGTAAAAAATACTACTAAGGAAAAACACCTTAATTGAATGAAAACAAAAATAAGATTAGTATGTTATTGACAAGTGACACTATTGCTTCAAAAAGAATTTAAAAAAAGAACTACTTGTCCTAAACATGACCTTTTATTTTAAGTAAATAACGGGTACATGTTTGGGTACGGGTATACGATATTTTCTATAGAACCAAACCCGCTAAAAAGTTGCGGGTATTGTTCGGGTTTGGGTCTTGACCCGACCCATTGACATGCCTAACTCCAAACTTGATTATCTTCCTTAATTTTATATTCTAAAATATATCTAGAAATTTGTGTCATGGAAAATAATAGGCCAATTATAACACCCTAATCCGTCCAGGTCTGCAGTCCCTTTCAGACTAAAGTATTAACTTGGTAATCGTAAAATTTAAAACTTTTCAAACACTTTTATTTATCACAATAATATTTTTCGTAACATATACAATGCGAAGTTTTCAATATTGCGGAAGCTTAACAAATCATAATTACAAACATAATTTGTTTATGTTCTTTAATTCAAAATCATCACATCCATTCCGACAATCTCGCTTCCGTCTGCCTCCAGAATCACGTCACATCATTCTTTCTATTAACCTGCGTGTAGCAAATAAAACATACTACACGCTCAGCGGTGAAGCTGAGTAAGCATATCTAATGCGTCGAACATCCATATAAATTGAATCCAAATTCATAATCAAATCATTTGATATCATGCACAGAGTATTCAGTTCAAATATACAATAATCAATATTCAACATTCGTCATTCAATATTCATATTCAACATTCAACATCCTCATTCAATAATATCCTTAAACTATTCTTAGTCTAAGGCCAATTTATTTGATGTTTACCAACTCTTAAACTAGTTCTAGTTTAAGGTACTTTTATCCAACTCTTAAGCTAGGTCATTAGTTTAAGGTACATATATTCCGATTCATTTACCAACTCTTAAACTAGCCTTTGCTTAAGGTACAAATCCAGAAAATCGAACAGTAGGATACTAACTGTCGGGTTGGGTGGCATCCCCAAACGAGTTCCTCTATTTTGGTTATGGATCCCGTACGTACGTTTTAACCCAGGCCACCGAATATTCATAATTATACCCGCAAGGCCTATTTCTAAGTCATCTTAGAGGTCTTCTAGATAGTCTTAGAAACCAACGTCAACCTAGGTATATCTAGAGTTCTTCTAGATATCCTTAGAATTCAAATCATTTCATAATCATCAACATATTCATTTCAATTCATAATTTAATCTTCAATAATCATTTTAATCAGTAGTTTCATCAAGTCATAATCATCATAATAATCATTCATCATAATCATCAATCAACATAACATTTGATAACAAATAGCGGCCTAGTCTCGAGTGTTAACACCCAAACTTACCGTCATGCATCACATAGTATTTTATATGCCAAAAACATCATTTTTATTATACAAAATCATATTTATATTGTGCATAATTAATTGGTATCAAAAATAGGATTTCATTGTTCAAAAATCATGTTTTCTAAACAATAATTGATTAATATATGATAGGAAATTTAATTATTAACTATTAGCTTCATTTTCTTCAATAGTGTAGGGAGACAGTCTACTGTCACTTCTGATAATCTACTGTCTGATGTTCAGAATGGTCTGATAATCGATTATCACACTCTGATAATCGATTATCAAACTTCAGAGAGGGCTGACAGTCGATTATCACATTCTGATAATCGACTGTTGCTCAGCTTTGTTCAAAAAATCTGCAGAACGATGAATAATCGATTTTCAAGTTGATAATCGATTATCCATCGTCTTCTACCTCGAGCCAACTTGCGGAAATGTCACTTTTACTCACCAAACTTCAATTAAAGTATATAAAAATGTTCTNTAATCGATTATCACACTCTGATAATCGATTATCAAACTTCAGAGAGGGCTGACAGTCGATTATCACATTCTGATAATCGACTGTTGCTCAGCTTTGTTCAAAAAATCTGCAGAACGATGAATAATCGATTTTCAAGTTGATAATCGATTATCCATCGTCTTCTACCTCGAGCCAACTTGCGGAAATGTCACTTTTACTCACCAAACTTCAATTAAAGTATATAAAAATGTTCTCCAAGATTCATGGATCATTTTAGCATCATTAATTCATAATTTTAACATCAATTTCATGGTTTATGATTCTTAATTCTTCAAGCATGTCAAACACAAAACTCAACCAAATGACCATTTATGAACGTAGAAACGACCTATATGAACATTCTAGTCATTAGATATATCTACGGGCTTACCTTGAAGCTTAATGGAGGTTTTGGAAATTTTCCGGCAAAACTTCCGGCGAGTATTTCTCCCAACTCCGGTGACTTCACACCAAATTGACAGCACCACAACACTCATCACACTTTCATGAACACTTAGGAAGAAGAATGAAGAAGAATGGTGAAGAAATGAGAAGGAATGATCTCACTTATATAGAAGGAGAAGGAAAGATAAAACAAGCCCTGTCACCTTCTCCTGTTGGAACGGCTGAGTGGAGGAGGAGGCTGATCTCTACGGTTTTTTAAACGCAAGTCTCTGATTGGACTAATTTTGGTCCTAGTCGGGGTGCACTTTTTGGCCCAACTTTCTCCGAATTGAATTCCGTTTGTACCGTTGCGATCAGACAGTCGAATTCTAGTCAACAGTTTACTTATTATATTTATTTGTAATACTTTTTCTGACATCATATTTTTGGGTGTTTGACTTTGGCAGAGTCAAAATTGGTTTAATTGACCTTTACTCAAAAAGGTTCTTGCATCCCATTCATATTATTCATTCTCATGATTTATTTCAATAAATCATTTCAAAGTTTACATCATAAACAATTTTCTTCATTTATTCTTAATTTGGGTCTGTACTCAGGTTCCCAATCAAGGTTACACAAATAGTCAACATATTTTATCTCAATGAGATTTATCGAGATTGTGATATTGGACTTTAGAACATATTTCATATC